CCATTGACCACTACCCTCTGGATGTGACCATCTAACCAATTCCTCACCCACCAGACAGTCCACCCATCAAATCCATACCTCTCCAGTTTAGAGAGAAGGATGTTGTGGGGGACCGTGTCAGAGGCCTTACAGAGCTCCAGATTTTCCCTTGATAAATCCATTCTGACTATTCCCCATCACCACCTTCTTAATATGTTTAGAGATGATTTCTAGAATTACTTGCTCCATCGTGTTCCCAGGGATTGAGGTGAGGCTGACCATCCTGTAATTCCCTAGGTCCTTCTTGCCCTTCTTGAAGATTAGAAGAAAGCAAATGTCACTCCAGTCCTCAGGAACCTTCTGCTATTGCCACAACCTTTCAGAGGTTGAGAGTGGTCTTGCAGTCACCTCAGCCAGCTCCCTCGGCACTCGTGAGTGCATCCCTCTGGCTTGCATGGACTTGTGTATGTCCAGTTTGTTTAAATATTAACTCAATGCTCCTCCACTGAGAGCAAGTCTGCCTTTGCTCCAGGCTGTCCCACTGGTCTCAGGGAGCTGGCATTGCTGAAGGCAAGTCTTCTCATTAAAGTATGAGGCAAAGAGGGCATTGAGTGCCTGGGCTTTTTCTGTGTCCTTTGTCGCTTGCTCCCCTGCCTCATTCAGCTGGGAGGATGTATTTTCCCTAGTTTTCCTTTTGCTGCTGGTATACTGGTAGAAGCCCTTCTTGTTGCCCTTCATGTCCCTCACCAGATTCAGTTTAAGGTGAGCTTTGGCTTTCCTAACCCCGTTCCCACCCACATAGTGCCTTTATCTTTCTCATAGGTCACCTGTCCCTAGCAGATGGGGGCCTCCACCCCCTGCAGGCAGGGAGTCACTTGCTGCTAATATGTGGTGCTACTGCATGGCTCAGACTTAACCAGTTCAGACATTTCACTGGGCACAGCTCCCAGCCCCATATCTGCTATGAGGGCACTGAACCAAATCTGTCATTGTCCTGTACATCTGCAGGCAGAGCGGGAGCTGCTGTCCTGATGCTTCCAGCCTTTGTCATCATGGGAGTCTCCATTTCCCATCTGGATAAGCTCAGGCTCTGACTGTACCTCATTTCGTAAAGCTGGGGGTTGCAGTTCTTGAGGTTGCAGGATCTTGGAGTATATCCAGTCAATGTGTTTCTCATAATTTCTGATGCTGTGCCATCCCCTGACTTTCTCCCATAGCTCCTTTAACTCGGCAACACAGCTTTCCCACTAGTTTGTACCTTCTGTAGCCAAGAAGCTCATCTCCTTCTGCCATAGCCTCAGCAAGAATGGGAGGCCCTAGATAATCCCTGCAGCCAAAGAGTTGCAAAGCCATATCTTCCCCCAAAATAGCTCAGTCTGAGTGGAGGCTCTGACATTACCAGGAGAGTTCCAGTGGCTGCTGGAGACCACACCATGTGGCACATCACCACCATTACTGAGTGCAGGGACCATCCCCCTTCTGTGCACCCTGCTGTGCAAAGTCCTATGTTTGTTAGCTGCTCTCTGGGACCTGTGCTCTAGGCTCAGCAGTAATACAGGCCTCTCCCTAGTACCTGCTGAAAGGGTGTTTGAGCCTCCATAAGGAATCAGCTGGAACATAAGCACAAAGCACCCTTTGATCAAGAACAGCTGACACAGCTCATTAGAAGCTGCTAGAGTTTCCCAGAAGTCACAGCCTCCTTTAGATATCCTTTCTGCTAGTAGCAGGCACCCTGAAGCTCTTCAAAGAGAATCTAACTGCAGTAAAATCAGATGTAGCATCTGCTCTAGAACAAATTACCTGAACATTAAACATGTTCTTTTAATATGTAACTAGCTCTTGCATGTTTCAAACTACTTGTACTATTCAGTGGTTAGGCTTTTTCTAAAGAGTAGGAGTAGGAAAGAGTTGTATGGAAGATCCTAATAAACTTGTCTTCACTAGTGTGGAAATAGTGTTCTAACTATTCAGGATTTTTTACTATGAGTTTTTCTGATGGATGGAAGAAAGCTGGAGATGTAGCTGCTCTTTTTTTTTTTTCTTTCTTCATTTTCCATTGTTTGCTGTCATTCTGGAAAAAAAAAATGAAAAACTCATACCTTGGACACTTATATTGCTTGCAAATATTCAGCATTCTGCAAATGTTTATGAAGAGCCCTGTGGCCCTATAAAACTTACCTAAAATTTGAGGACCTATGCTTTCACAAACTTTAAAAATGACCTAGGTTGTCATGCAGATTTTAAAATAGTACCTTTTAATAATTTTTAGTACAGTAGTGCATTTTTAGTGCAACTCTCAAAAAAAAAATATCATTTAGTACAGTAGTGCATTTTTAGTGCAACTCTCAAAAAAAAAAAATATCAGAAACCATCAGAAAATCAGGTCAGACTGAAACCAACAGAAATCTAACCATCAAAAAATCAGACTATAAGAAATTTGTGAAGTTAGAAATATGACTCTCAAAGTGCATGTAATACAAGTAAAGAAAAAACAGCAGAGGAAAGTAACTATTTGTTATGCTGTTTCAGTCTCTAGTGAATCTTCATTGATGTACTACTAATTCTGTCTTCCTATATCATCCTCAGGTTTGGGGTGGAGGGGTTGGGTGCTATGGTCTTTGGTGTTTTGACGGTGATCAGGTACCCACAGTATGCTCTGTAGCTTCCCTTCCTGATAATTGACCTAGGCTTGTTGTTTTATATGTGGATCTCTAGAGGATACAGTGCCTGGAGCTGGAGGAGTGAATGAGGTCTCTTTTTGGTTCTTTTATGCTTCATCGCTGTGATGAAAATGACTTTTATAATATAGTTCTGTTTTGAGTCTGTTCTTTTGTTAGATTTTTACTTTCCTTCTTACCCAAGAAGTAAGAAAAAGGTTTGAATGGTTTTTTTGCTCAGGGATTGGAGGTACCGGTTAAACCTTCATGGCAGGTAGAAAAAGAAGTTCATTGCTGACACAGGCAAAATGAGATTTAGTTTTATTTGGCTGGAATCCTGAGAAGAGGATTCCTTTTTCAGAAGAGGGTTGTTTTTTGCTTCTCAGAAGCTATGTTTCATTATAGGATGGTGCTGATAGAAGCAGGAAGAACTGGAGGCAAGTTCTGGAGAAGGGAATGGGGGTACTAGAGCCATTCCGCATTTGGGGCAGTAGTTTGGTGAATCACAAAGCAGAACTCACTAACAGGGCAGCAATGTACGGAGACCAAAGGGACTGTTGTTCTGCTTTGATGTCATCAAACATCTTATTTTTCCAAAGGCGTTCTTACTGGTTTAGGATGAAAAAGGTTAAACTGTGGACAAATGAAACTTCATAATAATCACGGCATTCTGCAGATACCTGTTTTGTCAAAGGTTCCTCAAGCAGCTGTATCTAATTGTTCCAGGTGAAGTGTCAAGGAGAAAGCGTTCCAAATCTGAGGACATGGACAGTGTTCATTCTAAACGTCGTCGGTACATGGGAGAAGATTATGAAGCAGAACTCCAAGTAAAAATTACAGCCAGAAGGGATGTTGACCAAAAATTGCAAAAGGTAGAATGGAGGTGCAGAATGAAGATGGCAAGCGCACACCTGTTGCTCGTCTTATTGTCTTTGAATTAGTTATTCTTTGCCATGTGGTCGCTGCCCCCCCCCAGCACTTTATCTTTTTTGTGGTTGACAATTGAACGTAACTCAAATAACAAAGGTGGCTTAATTCATATAGAGTCCTATATAGCCCTACTTTTAAGAGGAGACCAAGTATCATTTGAAGACTACGCTGCAAGAGTTATATTGAAATGTGTAAAACACTTAAACTCTTAAGTCTCATGAGACTATAGATGGAGAATCTTAGCAAAGGAGGTATTTCAGCGTGGTAAAGGTTTATATGTGGTGCGCTTTATTGTGTACCTAGCTTTAAAGAAAGTCTGTCTCCAAATAAGAGTGCAGTCAACATAGTGTTTTGCAGATTTTTATAGAGCTGTTAATTGCCTAATTGCACCATTGGCATGTAAAGAAACCTGTGATCTTAAAGAAAAAAAATTGCCCTTCTTTTCCGTTAGTTAGCTAGAGCGTGTTGTAACTTCGTTAATGTAGGATGTAGAAAACTGAGCCATCATGTTTTCCCCCCCCCCCCCCCCCCCCCGGGAAATTTTTGTCTGCAATAGGTGTAGGAGGGAGAAAAAATTTAAATGATAAGTGTAACAAATAAACTTTGTGGAAATCGGTCTCTTCTTTTTCCATTTTTAGCTTCTGCAAGAAAAGCAACACAGGGCATTTCTGCTAGGGGAAAATGTATCTCGGAAATAAAGTTTTGTTGAATAAAGTTTCTGTTCTTTGAATGCCAGTGTCCCTCTCAAGAACAGAAAAGTAAGAGGAAAAATTAATTTGTGTGAACACAGCACTTTCTGAAAATATCTTCTGTTGTTAAGGTTCTTTTTATATGTAATAAGGTTTTATACACTTATCGTACCGCAATGGAATTAATTTCTTGAATTAATGGCAAAGAGGGACCATTTGTATTTGCCAAAATAAATGTAAAAACTTTTCTTAGCTGTGCTACCGCGTGCTTTTTGGTGACTATAGATTTATTTGATTGACAGGGCAGAACCGTTGTCACTGTTCTGTTTGTAGCAGGATACCTGTTAAGAGTTGAGAATATTTTTATAGATGGTCTCCCAAATTCTGGGATTGCATTGTTATTTTTCTTTTTTATAATAATTTTGCAGGTTATCCAGAGACTGTTAGAAGAAAAACTTACTGCTTTACAGTGTGCTGTATTTGACAAGACTCTGGCGGACTTGAAAACCCGAATAGAGAAAGTAGAATGTAACAAGAGGCATAAAACTGTGCTTACTGAACTACAGGTGAGTGTTTGTGTGTTGAACTGCATACTAGAGTCAAATTTAAAAGTAAGTTCCTCAACATTTGGTAGTAAGTCTCCTGTAGTTGTCCAGAGGGAAGCCATTTTGGCTTCACAGAGGGAAGCGGGGGGAAGCAGCAAATACTAATGTTGCTTTTGAGTTGTAGAATTCTTTTTCCCTACTCAGAAAGAAGAAAGCAACCAATTAATCATCAAAAAACCGCAAAGCAAATCTTCCTTCTGGCAAACTGATTCATTAGCTGTTAGTAAACTGCTTTTCCACTCTTCTGTTCCATGTAGACATTCTTCAAATAAATGTTAAGTATGAAAATATCTAATGCCTCTATGAAGCCAGAAATTTGCTTAAAAACGGAAAAGTGCAGAAAGGAGAGGACAATAGCACCGGACTTTGTAGAGTGTTCAAACAAAGAAACATCACATGATACTTAATCCATGTTATTCCCCAGAAACTAAATAATTATGTTCTAGCAAGGAAACAAATAGCTAGCGTTGAATGCAGTATGCTTTCTTGCATTCTTTACAGAAATGATGTGCATAGTGATGAGATGAGGAACATGACAAAAATCAAAGAATTTTGAAGTGACAAGACAATTAAAAGCTTATGTCATAACAAATTCAAACAATAAGGCCATTTTACTTTTAACATAAAAAGTATGGAGTTTGCCAGACCAGTTTGTACTACATAACTCTTCCCCCTCACTGCCCCAGGCATTTTATGTTGACTTTTTGTTAAGTGCTATCTAAGATGTTTTCAGTATACTGAAGTGTATCAGTAAGAGGGAGAAATAAGATAAATGGGGGAAGAGTAGATAATACGAAAGGCAAAAAGGGGTGCATTTTTCAGTATGGTTGGTACATAAGGCATTAAAACAGTCAAATGCTTTCAGTTGCTTTCATTCATGCAGAATATTTCGTGAACCTCTGCAAGATGGATTCTGTTGTGCAATTGTGAATAGGAAGGAAAATAATTCAAGTTGTCTCTAAGAGATCTTGATTGTGATACACGTGTGTGTCTTTCTGCTGCTCTGAAGTAATACAGTTGTACTGTATTTCAAGGAAGAATAATTTCCCCTAATATAAAAATAGCCTTTGACTTGATGTCTTAATTATATGTCTTTTAGTTTGTATAATTTCCTTGATGGTTCTTGGGGAGGATATTTATCGTTTTGTTTGTTTTCTTCTTCTTCCCATTTAGGCTAAAATTGCTAGATTGACAAAGCGGTTTGGAGCAGCCAGGGAGGACTTGAAGAAAAGACAGGAAGTAAGAACTAGATTTGTTATATTAGTTTTTCTGAGTTAGCCTAAACCTTGTGTTGAAAAATAAAGAAATTTTATATGCAGAAAGATGTGACCTGGGTCAGTGGTTTTCACAAAGTAGGTTTGTCTTGTTTGGTTAAAGGCAGTGATATGAAAGAGTCTTTTAACATCTGTTATGTAATTCTGATTTGTATAGAAGGTCCTTTAGGCATTTTTAATATGAAAGCACCTTAAATTGCATGTAAGTAAATCTAATTTACTTCGATATGAAGAGTACAGAGTAAATAAAAGTGAATCCCAGTACCTTGATTTTGGGGGTGGAACAGAGACAGGAGAGGAATGGATACAAACAATAGTATTTCTCTGTGTCTAGAATGTATATCTTGGTTTAGTTACTGTGAAGAAATGGAACCTAAAAGTCCATTAATGTTCAAGAAAAAATTTTTTTTATTATGCTATAAAAACCTGAAGGCAAGAGACTTATAAAAAGGGAGGATGTAGGAGAGGGAGGCAGGTAGGACCAAGGAGGTTTTGGGGTGTTGTAAAACATGTAAAGTTGTCCTGCAGTGTTGGCTTCAGAAAATTTATATCTCACACAGAAATGAATGAATATGAAATATAATGAAAACATAAGTGCAAGCCGACACTTATGGTTGTTTTGTTATGGCTTTTCTTTTTTTTTTTTTTTTTTTTTTTTTTTTTTTTTTTTTTTTTGGTAGAATTCACCAAATGCACCTCTGTCACCAGGGAAAGCAGCAAGTGACACTGCAAACACAAACAATGCGACATACCGGTAAGCAAACCTCATCACTGTGACCATGTTAAAATTTACAATAGGACACTTGAGATACCTAATGTAATGTATTTTCTTTTTTTAATTAAAGTGCTCTTCCTTTTCCTTCATTGCTCTTCAATTGTAAAATTCAATTTTCTTTCACAGAAATCATAAATGGACAGTATTGAATCCATTCTTAGGTAAACTGAGATGAGTGTCATTTCAGCGGTTAAAAAATAATGCATAAAAATGGAAGTTTAATTTCAAGGAAAGGAAAATTCTCATGGTGAAAGGCAAACTTGGTGCAAGCACTTGAAAATTTACAAATAATTCTGCATTTTTTTTTTTTTTTAGTAGGGGAATATCCAAAGTTAATTTGCATGGGGGGCAGAAGATAAATGGGTTTAGAAAACCTCAATGAAAAGAATAGCTGTAAAATAAGGGGGTTTTTCATAATTGTACTGTTCATAATTTTACCTGGTGTGGCTTATTGAGAAATGCTAACTGAAACTTTGTTCCATAGAAATGCTGGCACAGTGAGGCAGATGCTGGAGTCAAAGAGGAATGTAGGAGAGAGCACACCAGCAACTTTTCAAGCCCCTGTCAATGCAGGTAAGAAACTGCCTATGGGCTATAAACACACTTCTTAAAAGTTTTATTGCTTTCCATTAAATGAGTAACTAACTGAACAGAGCAAAACTGGGGTTTATGACTTTTTTTTCTGACATCAAAAATCATTATTTTTAGCTCCCTACCACATTCCCAGTTTATATTTGTGTAGTGTGCTTACCAGGTAAGGGAAAAAATGTGTTGATTTGGCCAACAAGAACATGTGGGTAAATTAGATGCTTCAGCGGACTGCTTGCAGGATATGGCAGCAAAACTTGCAGTGTCTCAGCTGCCAAGAAGTGAAACACATGGCTCACAGGCCATATCATGCTGATATTTTCCCCTCTAACTAATGACTACAGAAGTTGAGCAGGGAACTGAAGGAAGTCATAAGCCTCATTTCTTAAGGGAGTCAAGTTGAAAAATGGAGTTCCTAGGTTAGAATTTTATAGGGAATGTAGAATCAAAACCCCCATTAACTACATTCATTGTAGTCACATCATCCTTGGTTTTAAAAATAGTTTACCTAATACTGAATGCTGAATCTTTTCCACAGAATCATCTCATAGTAGGCATATACTGGCTTTCTGTAGTGTATTATGCTCCTGATCTTTAGCTTTAATCCTAAAATTTTGTTGCATAAAAGCGAGTAACTTCTCTGACACATTAATCCTTGGTTTCAGTAGAACCTTCCAGATACAAGGTCCTACCTGTACAAAGCAAGTTAGTCATAACTGACTTAGTTTTTCTTTTCTTGTGTTTTCTGAAGGACCAGTTGTTCTACCATTTCTGCAACGAGTGTTTAAAATGCTACATTTCATGTGTTTTCAACAGTTAAATCTTGGAGCTTTCTTCAAGCCTTTTTGTGTCATAGTTCTTTGTATATCTTAATTTTTTGCCATTTTTATATAGTTCTTTCAAACAGCAATACAGTATTGACTGTATCTTTAGGCCATTGAATATCAGAGTGTACAACAGAAAAAGAGTACCTATAGCCTTTCTTTGCAAAAAGTTAATCATATACCACATTTTTCATAGAATCATAGAATGGTTTGGGTTAGAAGGGACCTTTAAAGATCATCTAGTCCAACCCCCCCTGCTGTGGGCCAGGACATCTTTCACTAGATCAGGTTGCTCAAAGCCCCGTCCAGCCTGACCTTGAACACTTAAAATGATAGGGCATTCATAACTTCCCTGGACAACCTGTTCCAGTGTCTCACCACCCTCATCATAAATCGTTTCCATTTGTTGTGTTGGAGTGAAACTTCCCACTTGGTTCAAATACTTAAATTTTTAAATTTGTTGTTGTTGTAGTGCCAGCTTCCAGTCTTGCTGCTGCTTCGACAGTTGTCAGTGGACATCCTAAGCCTCAGACCCCAGTGACCTCCACCAGCTCTTTGACAACAACAGTTCTTCCCACAGCTAACACAGCTACGGTTGTAGGCACTAACCAAGTGCCCAGTGGCAGCACTCAGTCAGTGTCTGTGTCATTGCAGTCTTTGCCCGTAATCTTGCATGTACCTGTTGCAGTGTCATCCCAGCCTCAGCTCCTGCAAGGCCACACAGGGACTTTGGTCACTAACCAACAGTCAGGCAACGTTGAATTCATATCTGTACAAAGCTCATCTACAGTTGGTAGCCTTACCAAAACTACAGTGTCTTTGGCATCAACTAACCCAACTAAACCAAACAACAGCCCATCTGTGCCCAGTCCTGGTATTCAAAGGAACTCTCCAGCCAGTGCTGGGTCAGTAGGCACAACGTTGGCAGTACAGGCTGTTTCTACTGCACATCCTGTTGCCCAGGCTACAAGGACTTCTTTGCCCACAGTGGGTACTTCGGGACTTTATAATGCTACCAGCAGTCGAGCCCCCCTACAGATGAAGATTCCCCTCTCTGCATTTAGTAGTACAGCTCCTATTGAACCACCCACCGTTACAGCGCCCAGAGTTGGTAAGTTACGCCTGAATGTTGACACTGGGAAAGGAAAACAGTTGTCAAAGGGAAACACAAAACTCCACTCCCGTGGAAATTTTGTTTGTTAGTGTATTTTACTGAGATGTTTTTTCTGGGTTGCCTTTCTGTTGGAATTGTCAAGATCAAAATCATCTCTGTAATAGATGTGTTTCAGCCATTGTTGAAAATCGTCTCTCCTTAGAAGGGAGTCAGCAGTGTGGCTCTGTAATCTTTGTTTTATTTAGAACTTGATTTATATCATTCCTAGCATGAAATCAGAAACTCCTATTCTACCATTAACAACTTGGTATTTATTTTTAATACAGCCTCTCAAAATAATCTGGCTGCCTTTCTAAGCAAAGGCATACTGAAAGGAAAGTATAATCATTAACTTAATTTTCACAACATTTAAAAGTAAACAAAATGGGGGGAAAAAATGCAACTGAATACTAACCTTGTTCCAAAGAAGTACATTTATTGTATTTAAAATAAAGTCTCTAAATACAATGAATGTTCAAATACGGTATCTAGATTAACTATTTTAAACTACTTTCTCTCCATCTTTGGCCATGCCATGATGATTCTCTGCACTTCTCATTTTACATACCTTGAAAATTTTTTTCAAGAGGTCCTCAAGATTTCTAAGTGAGTTGGAATTATAGCAAGTTTCTCATTGGCACAATATAATGTTAAAATGAACTCAAGCAGAGCTTGACATCAGAACTAGTTCTATTTCATTTTCCCATCCTTAAGTTACCTATGTTAAAATAAGTCTTCCACAGAGTTGGACAGTTATATGCTTTGTATTGATTTTTAGCTCTAAAGCTAATATAATGATTTAATACAACATAGAAAGGGCTGTGATAGATCAGGCACAGTGACCAAAGGAAAGGCCTATGTGTCCAAAAATGTGTCTCATTTTCTGCAGTTCCCATAGCCTTGGTGAAGTTTTCTAGTAGTTTTCTCACTAGAATTGAAACACTGCTTTGGGCCAGCACTGTTGCTGATAAGCTCTGGTTAAAATGGAAAGGAAGGAGAAGGAGAATTTGGATTTAAATGTTTACACCAAATATTCAAGCAACTTCTGCTTAAGTTGCTAGTGTAGTTTGTTTGGCTGAGCTAATAAAGATGCTCGGTCTCCCTGCACAAATAGTCTCAGTTATGTATCTTGCAGTCTGTTTAACCATCCATTGTTCAGTCAGGTTTTTTTGTACAAAAATGCTGAATAGTTGTTTAATACCTTGTCAGTTTACAGGCAGAGGGAGGAGAGGTTGGAGTTATGCTTTGTCCTCAGATAGGCAAGGGAATTGTTCATAAAATATTTTGAGTACACTGTCAGACTTTCAGGGAAGGAAACATGTACTGCTTCTAGGCCGGAAAGTGCCATTTTGCTTTTCTGTATCCTCTGTTCCCTCTGAAAAATGGTAGTAATCAAGCTTGAATACTTACAATTGAAAATTAGGGCTGAAAAATACTAAATGTGCCGCATACTGAATGTTTAGTATCAAACAATTTTGAGTATTGCCTCCAAATTTGTATAGTGGATAGCAGTATTTAGTACTGATTAGATACTGCAAATGAACAATTTCTTGACCCCTCAGAAAACCAGACAAGCAGGCCACCAACAGATACTTCGGCAAACAAGCGAACTGCTGAGGGAACAACACAGGTAGGTTGTTGATTATGTTTCTATATAAAATTCTAAAGTTACAATCCACAGGAGAAAAGTTCTTTACCTTTATTGCTCATAATGAAACAATTTTAGTTTCTTTTTTGTGCCATCCTTTCTAGTTTCTGTCCATTTGTATTTTTCTTCTTCTGATCCAGAGTATTACTTGGAGCATGAGCTTCTGATAATCTTTTCAGAAGTTTTCTGATGGGGTTTGTCTAAGTAGATGAGTTAGTAATTCAGGAGCACACTAAAAACATGTCAACAGAGCTAATGTGCAAAAGAAAACCCTGCCCAGTTTTTGTTTGAAGGGCTTGAACTTAAAGCTACAAATATTTTGTAAATTATTGCAGCTCCCTCATTTCCACACTAATCCAGAAGTTAATAAGAATTGGGGTTCTAATATTTCATTGCCATACGTCATAGGAAAAAAAAAAAGGAAAAGAAACTTTCTTCAGGAATAACTACTTCATGATAAAGGAGAACTTGCAGTACTTCTGGATTCCTCGTCTAAGATTTGTTGAACTTGCTTTGAAATTTAAAGGTTGACATTAAGCTATTTAAAATTATTCGTAATTAATTTTATTTCTGCATACAGATACTTCACAAAGCACCTCATACTTATATTGCTGTTAACTGGAATTCATTTTATTAAGGGGAATAAATAATTTCTTCTAGCCAAAATTTCCATATTTAATAATGTTTCAAGGTACAGTTAAATCTGAATTGTATTTCAAAGCAAGAAGAAAATATACTGGACAAGATTCTGGTTTTCACCTGTCGCAGAAATAGTCTGGCAAAGATAACCAATATTACAGAGTATAAATTGTGCCTCACTCTACCTTTTTATTAAGGCATTTCATAAAGAATGGTTGTTTGGAACTTCCTTTTTCAAAGATACCTGTGGATTATAGCTATTAAAACATTTGTCAGTACTTAATATGTAGAAAATTCAGTACCAGAATGGATGACAGATGTACGGTTTTAAGATTTAATTTTCAATGTAAGATGCGTATTTTGGAATTTTTCTTCTTCGGTAGAGCCTGAAACCCGGAAAAGATTTTGGAAAAACAGATTGTGTGTGATAGTGGTATTTATCAATGGAAGGTGAGCAAGGAGGGAAATAAAATACACATGATGCTTTCCGGTTTTCAGTCTTCTGTTATAGTGTATGTTTCTAGGTTTGCTTTCAGTCAAATCAGTTAAAGCATGTGTAATGCCATGGTTAATAAAGAAGGACCTGATGGATTTTAATTGGCTAGTGAGGTATGGAATTGACATGCCATATCATTTGAAAAATCTAGTTAATGCCACCTGCTTTTTGTTATGTAAAATCCAAAATATTATGTATTACTCCGCACTTCACAGCTCTCAGAACAAAAAGTAGTTCGCTGTGTGCCGTATACCTGTGGCATATTTGATGGTACAACTTTGATCAATTGTTTCGAAAAGCAGTTGAAACAGGAAGAGACTTCATCAGAAAATAAAGAAGCGGTAGAAGCAGCACAGACGAATTTTAACTTCCCTGAGGATGTCCTCTTTGGCTTGGAGGAAGAGGAAGAGGATGCTAAGAGCATCAAAAACACCCACAAGCAGACTGGCTGGGCAGCTAACCTATTAAAACAATGGCTGGCCAAAAATGGCAAGGATCCTAGCTTTGAATTGGTCCCAGTAAGTGAACTCAATGATATCTTAAGAGAGTTTTATTACACAATAAGGAATCATGATGGAAATACCTACAGTGTGGCAAGCTACAAGTCAATGCGTGCTGGCTTAAACCGGCATCTCAAAATGCCACCTTATAATCGTCAGATTTGCTTAATGAAGGACAAAGAGTTTGCTGGTGCAAACATGGTATTTGTGAGCGTGCTGAAGATGCTGCGCATGCAGGGAAAGGATGAGACTCACCACCATCCTCCTATAGCCGCTGAGGACTTGCGTAAGATTAAACAATCTGGTGTGCTGGGATTGCACAGTCCACTGGCACTCGTCAACAAGGTGTGGTTTGATTTGCAGTTGCATTTTGCCAAACGAGGGAGGGAAATTTTAAGAGATCTGGCTCCAGATGCTTTTGTTGTTGAGAAGGACAAGAATGGGCGTCGATACGCTATGTTTAGGTATCCTGGCAAAGGAAAAAATGGAGAAGATCCTCATAAAATGGGTAAAATGTATGATATGCCAGGGGACCCAAACTGTCCTGTTTTTTCCTTGGAGCTTTATTTGTCTAAGTTGCCTCCGGAGCCCCCTGCCTTTTACCTGCATCCTTTAAAGCTAACGTCAGAGCAAATGCAAGAACAGCCTGTCTGGTACAAAAGAGAACCGATGGGTGTGAACTACTTAGGTACCATGATGCCCAGGATAAGTGTGGCAGCCAGGCTCTCTCAACGATATACCAATCATTCTCTCCGAACTACCACCATCCAGCTACTGTGTGAAGCAGGACTGGGGCCTAGAGAAATAATGGCAGTGACAGGCCATCGCTCCGAGTCTGCTATTAGACACTACTGGGGAGCTGCGGAAGTTCGCTACAGGGCTTGGTCAGATATAATGGAGAATAATGCCCCCAGTTACCTATATAGCAAGATCCCAAATGAAGTGATAAAAGAATCACTATCTGGTGCCTCCACCTCTTCTATAAACCATGTTGTTCTAGAACAAAGCAAAATTTTATTCCCTAAGAAATCTGTGGTGCCACCTAGCACTAATTCTGTGACTTTAGTCCCTGAGGGACACCCAGCTCTGAATTCCAAAAGCCCTGTCCTGTTGAACCACAGTTCTTCCAAGGTGTTTCTCCCCAAGAACATGGCCAGTGGGAACCTAACTGCTGGTCCCCTTCAAGGCTGTTGTAACAAACCTGTCTTTATAAAGCGTGTGATAAAACAAGAACCAATGACTTGATGCTTCTGTAATGGAACTGATTTCAAATGAATTGCTAAAATGAAAAAATTATCAGATTTGTTTTTTCACTTGGTCTACTGAGAAAATTTCTTACAGTCTAGTTCAGCAAGAAGTATCCTGTTCGCACTCCTGAAGTGAGCTATGGAACAGAAACTTAAACAGAGCAGGGCTTGGAGTTTGTATGACTTTCTGTGGCAGCTGGGACTCTTTAAGTGGCTGAGCAGAGCTATTTTAAAAAAATGAAAGGGAGATACTGATTTCCACTTAGCTGAAGAGCTATGCTTTCTTCACTAAGTGCATGGCTTTTATATTTTGTAAAGAGTGTATTTATTATACCATTTTGTGCCTGCTGGCACTAATGTAGCATTTTACAAATCAAATACTTGATTACTGAAGAGCACGGAGAAAGTAGAAGCTGAATGAAATATACACAGATACACTACAATACATATGCATGAAAACACCTGGAATTGCTTGACCACTGTCACCCTCTCTGTTCAAATTGTTATCGGACCTACCAGAGGATTGTGCCTTTTTTTTTTTTTATTAAACATTCTTCTAAATTGATTTTCTCTGTGAGCTGCAGATTTGTATTGCAGGTCTTTCCTTTTCCTATTTAATAATTCTGGCTAAGATTTCAGTCATTCTGTTCTCAAAAGGCAATATTTGATACAAATGATAGTAAAATTGGGATCTCTTCAGTTGTGCATGAAATGGGGAAAACATTCTCAAAAGAGTCAAGAACAGGTTTGTTGCTTAAATGGCAAGTAATTACAGTTGAAGTGTTGTCTCTGTATGTGCTTATCTTGTGAGAGGGGTTTTTTTTGTATTTCCTCTCACCTACCCCTTCCATTACATTTCACATTGTCTTTGCAGTATAGTCAGTATAGTCTTTGTCAGTATAGTATAATTCACAAGAAGCACATCTGTTCTTCCCCACCAAACCCTGTCCAAATGTTATTTTTGGTTTTAACTTCTTTAGATTAGTTCACTATAGTAAACTGATCCTATCATTAAAATTTCCATAGGAGATTTTTACAGGTTAGAAATTCTCAGGATAGTGGATGTGAATTTTGTCAGAGAAATGAAATTGTAGTTTAAAAGTCTCCTTAATGAAGAAAAAATACAAATTAGGAGGGCTAGTCATAGTTCACTTCTAATGAATCACACTTGAGAATCTAACTCACGGTTTGTCTCTGCTATTCTATGCCATGATTTTCGTCAGAGATTCTGATAAATCGAGAGATCTTCCTGTAAATAAAAATGGAAAACTGGTCATCAAATCACAAATTATGGTAGGTCCACTTTGGAAGAAGAAACAGTGTAGCATTTAAAACTGTTTTCCATTGTATTAACTGAATGAAATTAGAATGGCTTCGTCCTTTTGAAATGCATGTGTATTTGTGTGTACACACACGCGCCCACACGCACACGGGTTTATCACACTAAGGACTTCACTGGAAGTGTTTATGTTGCTCAGCAGTGGACAAAATAGAGAAAAATCCTAACTGAAGTAACAAATTGACCATGATAAACTCTCAATTCTGTGGAGAACTTCCTTGCTGGAAAAGGCTTTCAAATATTGAATGAGATTTGCCACTTTTGTTATAGTCTGAACAGAAGACTTGATGCCTGAACTTTGGAGGTTTTTATCTTGGCTGATAATGTTTACCTTTGTGGCCTTGGGTAGGTTATTCATACTTACTGCATCAATTTTCCAAAGTGTAAGACCAGCACAGACTGTTCCATTTTCTGATGGATCATGCTAAAGATCAAAAGGTTTTGAAAGTGCTATATTCATGTTACGTATTGTGTTTACAGTCACTTTTATTTGCTGTTGTTATAAAAATGATTGAGCTAGTTGATCAGATATAATTGTTAATATAAAAATTACTTCTGCACAATCCTACACTTCCTTAGTTGCAGCATTAACTTACGACCTCAATGACTAGAGGAGGGAAATCATGGATTTAGGATTATCATTTTGTCAAGCCTAGAGTAAATCAAATGGAAATGGTAAAGAAAGTAATCCTTTCTAACAGCTAGAAAGAAGAAAAATTGAAAAAACAAAAGGCAAACAGTTATCAAAATATAGGAGAACT